CACACACACACACACACACACACACAGGAATGCCAGCATAATTCAAAGAGGTGGGAAATAAGGTTATTTAAGGTGCTTCTGAAGCACAAACAAATGCTTGGGATTTGTTCAATCTAATCTTGTTTAACTACAGGGCAACTGCAGTTAAACAATATTAGAAACAACATTTCACCACATTCAGCCTTTCAGTGCCAATCTGATTTCCAGTTGCATGGATTAGACGACACACTGGGAACAGTGCAGGGAGCAGACCCTCTACTTAACCACAGTGCTCTGTGCTGTGCTGCTTACTGTATGCTCTCTGTTTACATGACTTGTGAAAAGCAGACCTACTCGTAGAAGCATCACAGCATGTAAATTAGAACTTAGTTAAGGAACACTAGGAACAGCAACAATAGAAACATGTCCCATTTCTGTGTCACAGATCTGATTGCATAACTTTATATTAAATCTTGCTTTTCCTGATGACTTTATGGTCTCCTTTTATGGTTTCAAGTCCTATAAAAAGAAATTACGGTCTCCATTAGAGTCAAAATGTTAGTGTGATTGACAAGGTAGTAATGTGAACTGTCTCAATTCCATATCTTCTATACGGTCTATTGTTCCAACTGGTGTTTCCATAGGTCCTTTCAGACATGATGGATGTTTTTGTTTATCTAAAGGCATTGTATGGTCACATAAGTTACACCAATCTTTAAAAAGAATTCAACAAAAATCTCTAGCTCTTTCAGTACTCAATGTTTCTGAATTAAGCCTGCAGAGATGCAATAGATAACAACATAGTCTCACCTCCTTGGCCTGGTATTAGCAGCTAAGTAGGTGAGACTTAAAAAGCTGCAACCTAAAGTTTGGAGCAGAAATACAAAGTATCAAAAGTCAAAGTACAAGTACAAACCACGAGTCTGGAGTTTTGTTTGGAGACTGAGTGGGAAAAAATAACAACCTAAAAAACCCCTCAAAATTGTCTACATTTGGATATATATAATTTGTTAATATAAATGTCTATGCATCTCATTAGTATTTTTTGAGCTTTGATACTTTCTGGATTTCCTCCCCTTTATGGTAAAGTCTGTAGTGGCAGTCTTTCTGTAAAAGCTAATTCTTCGACCAATCAGGATTTGTCGGAAAAAAACAAAAAAAACCCCAAACCTGTTAGGTGTGCTGTTGGCCTTTTGCTAGACGTCATGCAAGGACCTCTATATTGGTTGAATTTCTATAGTCCTTTTCTTTGAATTTATTGCACATACTCAATCACACATGCCTGAAGGCATAATAACCAATCACAGCGGAAAGGCTGTCGACATCAAGATTAGAGAGCACTGATTTCTATAAAGGTCTCAAACATTATTAATACTAACAGGTGTTTAGTCTTGTGTTAAGGTCCCTTTAAACAGTAACACTGTAAGATGTCTAATTGTGTGGAGTGCCAAATAAAATTCCCTCTTAGACTATCAAATCTCCATTCCATCATGTCAGAGTGATTATGGTGAATGTGTGATGTGAAGTAATAAAAGATATGACAAATATCAGTTTATCAGCTTGTGACATCAATTTGGAAATCCTTTTGCATCTTTTCATCCTAAGTTTCATATTGAATTATAGTTCAATGTTCTGTCCTTATATTCTTTGTTTTGGAGAAACCACACTGTATTTTGTCTCACAGTAAGGCATGTTTCAATTTGACTTGCCAGTTTGGGGTAAAAAGAGAACAACAGGATAAACTAGCAGAAAGGTCAGTCACTTCTATGTATATAGTAACAATCAACAGCACCTGAGCTCTACAGGTCTACACTGTTAACCTCTATACTCAACAAAATGTTTCTAGAATTCTTTCAAAAGGCCGGTGCTGTGTTAGCCATGTTTTCTACCCTGACAAAACATTATTTGATTTTTCACAAATTCAAATTCGAATTTGTGAAAAATCAGTCAAGCTTCAAGAAACCTTTGCTACAGATCCAAGGTCTATGGTAGTAGAACCACACCCTAGAAAACCATCCATCAGCGACTGAAAGATCAAAGATGAAACACACACACAGAGTTAAATGAATTGAAAAATTCGGACGTACCTCGCATCTCGCCAAATAGTTTAACATCTTCCACAGTGCACAAATGTAAGGTGCAAATCTGCTTAGAACCCACTATCGAGTGTTTTTAATGTCTCAAAGGGACCGACATATCAATAAAGAGACAGACACAGACACACACACACACACACACACCTTTGGCATCAGACAGGCAAAAGTAAGGAATGGCAAAACAAGTTTAGTACAGAAGGCTCAATCTGGAAGTAAGGCACCACCAGATTAAAATGTATACTCAGTGGCAAGAAACAGCAATGGAACCCTTTGGAGATATTTGCATTTTGTATCAGCCCAGTTTTTAAAATAACAACAACAACAACAACAACAACCAAAAAATGCAGGGAAAGAGTTTTCCATAATTCAGTGCAAGTTTGACCTGCAGCTACAGGAAGCTCTTCTTTCAGACACATATAGTTTTGTATTGCTGATTGAAGCACATTGCGCTTCCGGCAAAGAAGATGATCAGATGACACTTTATAATGAATCCAAATAGAAACAAGGTCATTCCAAAGGATCCATGTACTTTTTCCTGCTACACCACATTTTTATTTGTATATACATAAACATGCACACACATAGTCCAAAGTTATTAAAAATTGCATAAAATAATAATTCCAATAGTAAGCACATAAAGGAATGTGGGTGGAAATGAACAGTGTGAACAGTAGATGTACATAAAAGACAAAAAGCACTTCCACTCCAGTCTTGTCCAATAACTAGGTTCCAGCCATAGATGATTTATCAATAATTACAAACAATAATATAAAAATCTCTACTTGGTCGGAGGAGGGCTTCCCCCCCCACCCCCAAACAACAGGCTGACAGAAACTGCACTACCCGTGAGCCTCATCTTCTGTGGAGCTCTTCTGGGCTCTGGTGCCACCTGTGGAATCTGACCAATGACAGGAGAGCTAGGATGAGTAAGGGGTCACATCATCACACTTATGTAAACCCACTCAGGGGGTTTAAGGTGGGGGTGGGTAGGGTGTTACAGTAATATGAAGAGGGGATTAAAAGATGATGGCAGGGGGAAAAAATATGAAACAATAGTCTGCCTCAAGACATGAAAGATAGCACGATTGATGAAGAAAAGCCAGTGATTAGGAAAGAGTTGTTCTTTGTCTATAAATACACTCACGCTTTCCCTCTGTATTATATTTTACATAAAATAACTAACAATAGTTTGCTATATTTCTGTATGCTGTATTCATTTTGGAGATATATCATGGGCCAAAATGATGACATGCAACTCAAAAATATTTTCAAGTACAGCTTTTCTCAGGAACACAGACTTTGTCATCACTTTAGTGCCATCTTTTGTCTTTTTTAATACACTTATGGTGATGTAACAAGTCCTCCAATAGGCATATGACGGGTCTCCGTTAAGTTTGAAATTAATTTCTGCTAATAACAGACTAACACATTTTCTCCCGTTGTTATGTTTTGCCTCCTTTCTAATAAAAACTTTAAATGACTGTGGTCATGGTTTCACGGATGACTCAGTCACACTGGAGCAAAAACAGGATGGAAACCAAAAACAAATGAAGCAATAAGCAAATCAGTGGTTACCAGGTAACTGCATTAAATGGCTGTCCTGCAGCAGCTGCATCCCTATTTGTGCAGAAGGTTTTGAACTTCAGTTTAAGATCTATGAGATTGTGACCAGACTATAAATGTAATGAGTTAATTCTGTGTATGTATGATGGTAAAAGATTTGAAATTGTTGCCCAACAATCTGTTATCAAGTTTACAAGGTCGAGTTGTCGAGTCTCTGTTGTTGCTTTATCACCATTTTGGGGCACCAAAGTCGCTCTGAAGATGGTAACTGACTGCGAGTGGCTACACACCTGGTCCCCATTGTTAAAGCAACCATTTCAAAAGCAATGAAACTTCTAGTTGATTACACAAGGTTGCAAAAATAATTTTGGTCATGCTGTAGTCTCCAGCAACTGTGCGTTAGATACCAATTTTACAATAGCAATACCAATGATCAATAGCTGCTAATGATATTTGTTTTTTTTTTCCAGGTGATTATTTTTCCATCCTTGTGCCAGGAGTACACAGACTTCTTAAGCCATCACAAAACTGATGTGATAATACATTAAATATATCAGCCAACGACATCAGTAATGCCAATCAACGTGGCCATGTCATTAGATATATCAGGGCACCTCAGTTTCATTTACTGCCCATGTGTTTTGTTTTGTTTTGTTTTTAATTTGTTTTTACATGGCTGACAGAGAAGTCAGAACCATGACTGTTTAAAAGAAAAATACAGTACTCTGCAAAAGTTTTAGCCAGGTGTGAAAAAATGCTGTAAAGAATGCTTTCAGAAATATGAATAATGATTGTTTATTTTTATCAATTTACAAAATAAAAAGTGAGAGAACAAAATAAAAATCTAAATCAAATCAATATCTGGTGTTACCACCTTTTGCCTTCAAACCATCAGCAATTATTATATGGAACAGCCAATCTCTGCTACCAAGGTGAGGTTGTGAAAGACCGTTTCATGTCATGGCAATATTGAGCACAGCCACAAGACACAAGGTAGTTATACTGCACCAGCAAGGTTTCTCCCAGACAAAGATTTCAAAGCAGACTGGGGTTTCAAGGTGTGCTGTTCAAGCTCTTTTGAAGAAGCACAAAGAAACGGGCAACGTTGAGGATCGTAGACTCAGTAGTTGGCCAAGGAAACAGTGCAGCAGATGAAAGACACATCAAGCTTATTACTCTTCGAAATTGGAAGATGTTCAACTGTGCTTTCAGCTCAGAACTGACATAAACCAGTGGGACCCAGGCACACCCACCCAGGTCCGGCCAGAAGTGGTCTTCATGGAAGAGTTGTTTCCAAGTTGGAGGTATGGCTTTTTGGCTGCAAGGCCAAGCGACTCAATTATGCACAGAAACATAGGAAATGGGGTGCAGAAAAATGGCAGCACATGCTCTAGACTTTTGACCCATGAGTCAAAATTTTAAATATTTGGCTGTAGCAGAAGGCAGCTTGTTCGTCAAAGGGCTGGAGAGTGGTACAATAATTATTGTCTGCACTAGAGATGGCACGATACCACTTTTTTATGTCCGATACCGATACC